TGCAGGTGGACACTTTGGCGCGCACACCGACCATCAACCCAGATTTTGTGGTGTGTGTGTGGATACGTGTGTATGTGTGTGTGTTTGGCTGGTGAGCAGGGAGTTAATGCGGCAGGGCTGTGGCAGTCGTCCTGCCCCTCAGCCAGATTAATCATGCAGGAGAGACGCAGCAGGCCCCGCTGCCTCCGCCTGGGGGCCTAGCCGGGCCCGCATGTTTCCCCTATCACATGGCCCAGACCCTCGCTCTCTCCTCTCTCTCTTTCTCTCTTTTTCTCTCCCTCTCTTTCCCCTCTCTCTCGTCTTCCTCCACATACTCCTCCAGGGAGGCGAGGGGGGGGTGCTTCAGAACGTTTCTTCCTTTCCGCTCTTTCTCTCCTTTCTCTCTTTCTTTCTTCTTTTTTCCCCCCGTCTGTGGGCGTTGGGAGATAGAGGCGAGGCAGAGGAAAACAGAGGCGTCCGTCTCTCCCCCTGTGCGCCGGCAAACAACAACGGCCCCTTTTTATCTCTCATCGGAGGGCCCCGTCGGCAGTGGCCAGGCTGAGAGGAGGAGGAGGAGGAGGAAGGGGAGGGGGGATGAAGCGGGGGGAGGGGGGCTGCCAAGGGCCCTCCCGCACTCTCGCCTGGAAACGACTCGCCAACGTCTCCGTGCGTCAGAGAACAGCCGCTGCCATTGTTGCTCTCCCAGGCGCAGGACCGGGATCCAACTCCCTATTCGAGCGCCCATGTGTGACTCTAGGTGTGTGTGTGTGTGTGTGTGTGTGTCTGTGCAGAATGGAGATGACACCCTGAAGGATGATCAGGAGTTGGTACAAATTAGTTTGGACTCCATTTTGCAGATCTTGTCACAGTGTGCTAGAAAGTTTATACATGTTAATAATCAAACCTATGAGTACAATGACCACTACAGGTAACTAGTCAATTAAACAAGCACCTTATATTGTAGATTAATTATTCAGTTATTATTATAACAGTCTTAAGACTGCTATGAATCTAAGAATCTTAAGTAGCTTTACCTTAAGTGGTTTGCTTAAGCAATAACATAATCTTATAATTGCTATACAATTACTCAAATAATTACATTATCTTAAAATTACAATGCATTATTTGTTAACTACTATCAAATTTATTTGTAGGCTATGTAGTTGAAAGAACTTTGAGAGACAGAAATTAAAGTGTAGGCCAGATATAAGGCCCTTAAATTTTAAAAGGTTAAATGCAAACTAACTAAGCAGGGATGCGTCAATCCCATTTTTCTCAAAGTACGAGCACATATTTTTTAGTACTCGCCAGTACCGAGTCTGATATCATACTATAACCAGAACCTACTTATAATTAATTAGTTGTCAGTGTAAATGAGTGCAATGTATCTTAACAATTAAATCATTAAAATCTACCTGATATTAAAAGAAGTGCCTTAGCTAGCTGCATTACACTAGTTACCTTGGATTGAGCAGCGCTGCAGTGGAGGAGATTGAGTTTTATTCCACATCAGAAAAGTAGTTTTAATAATTCTAATGCTCCTCTGTCTCTTTCAACAACAGTTTCTGTAGCATGGTGACAACAGTAATCACCTCTGAGGCTAATAATAATAATAATAATAATTTTGACTGGGTGTTTGAGCTGTAGTTGAATGCCTTCTAAAGCCACACATACACTCAGCAATTTTAGAAATCTTGTTCTTTGGTGAGCCACACTGTACATTTGAATAGACCATGATGTATGGACAAAGCCTATGATTTATAGTATGAACTTGGTTTGATTGACATGCTATGTGAAATGCAGCCTCTACAGACAGCTCTATATAAAGATGTTTCATTCAAAATAACACGCTGCGCACTAAAATACTGAGCAAAAGCGCTGAGAGACAGAGCTACAGCAGCTTGGCTAACTACACTGTGCACCGAAACACACACGGTAGGACAATACGGTCTTTCTAAAGACTATTTTACAAAGAAAATTTTTAAAAATCAAGTTCATAATTCTATTCAGTAAAGTTGGCGTACAGACCTTAGTAGCAAATGTTGACTCTTTTGTCTCCATTTTGGTAGCCTATGTGTCTCCACTCATATTGGGAAATTGGTAGTGAGTGTGTGGTGTGTTTAAAAAACGTTAATGTTAAAGTCACGTAATGCATGTCTGGCAGGAATTTGCCAAGGCAGAACATTTAAAGTGCCTGGCAACATGGCGTCTGACTGCCACAGCGTCAGTAACCCTCCTTTACTGCCAGCTTGCTGTCTGTCTGCCCTGCGATGGACTGGCATCCAGGGTGTATCTTGCCTTCCGCCCAGTGACCACTGGGATATGTTCCAGCACCCCCCGCAACCCAGAAGGATAAGCAGTTTAGAAAATGTATGTGTAAAGTGTGATCCCGCATATCGATTACTGTAGTTTAAAGGGACAGCAAGATGTATTATTAATGATGATTACTACTATAAAATATAACATAGTAAACTAATATGTACATCCGACTGCCACAGTGTCAGTAACCCTTCGCTGTGTGAGCAGACCCTCCTTCACTGCCAGCTTGCTTCGTTTATTTATTTGGGTAGTAGTGTACACTCAGCTTGCATCACATGGTATCATGTGGTGTCGGATATTAGTATTGTGCATTTTTTTGAGGTTGAGTACAAGTAAATAAGTGTGGTGTCGGGCCGATACATGATACCAGTATTGGTATCAGTGCATCTCTACTTCTAAGGGTGTAATGATACACAAAAGTCAGAATTTAACCTTCTGTGATATGGGGGTATCTTGATTCAATACATTTTCTGATACAGCAGTGGCTGAAAATGTGCCTTATGTTAATATAGTAATGTTTCCATTTATTCAACACTATAGAAGTACGATTTTTGAACATAAGCTGTGTCAATCTAACGTTACAACGATACAATATGAAACACTGTGATACACTTTAGGGTGGCACGGTGGCGCAGTGAGTAGCGCTGTCACCTCACAGCAAGAAGGGTCTGGGTTCAGCTCCTGGCCAGGCAACCAGGGTCCTTTCTGTGTGGAATTTGCATGTTCTCCTCGTGTCTGTGTGGGTGTCTTCTTCCAGGTGCTCCCACAGTCCAAAGACATGCAGTCAGGCCAAATGGACATGCTAATCGCCCCTAGGTGTGGATGTATATGTCTGTCTGTCTGTCTGTCTGCACTGCGATGGACTGGCGTCCAGGGTGTATCCTGCCCAATGACTGCTGGGATATGTTCAGCAAACCCCCCCCCCCGCGACCCAGAAGGATAAACGGTTTAGAAAATGTGTGTGTATGTGACACACTTTAATACAATACATTGTGTCGTTGTTTACTTTATAAATGATAATAAACATTACAAATTACTACGTAACTACATGTGAAACTAATACATGAGTTATATATTTTAGAGAGTGAGGAAATGAAGTGTGATCCCACATAACGGTCATTGTAGTTTGAAGGGACAGCAAGATGTATTATTAATGATGATTACTACTATAAATTATAACATAGTAACTACAGTAAACTGATACATACATTATGTAGTTATAAGAGTGAGGAGTTTGGGCCCATATATGGAAGTATTACAATTTAAGGGGTTAATTACAGACAACAAGAGATATTAATGCTGCTGACAACAGCTGAGAATGTTTACTAAGCTAAACATCAGATAAAGCACTGCACTATAAAAATGACCAGCAACATATTATTCACACATTTTAATTGATATTAAGCATGTTATAAGAAAAGTTGTGTACTCCTTATTATCTCAGAACTCTCATACTTTAACTTCTATATTGATTGGTCCTCTCTTCTACTGTCCCTCACTCCATCACTCTGACTTGCTCTCCTTCTCTCCATGTGCTTTAGAGTACAACAAGCAGAGGGCAGCCAAGAGGACAGGATAAGTAAAAGTTTCATGGCCCTAAACCATACTTTTCACACAACACTGAAGATACTTGAGGAAAAAAAATAATATTTAGATTACAAGTTGGTAAATCAGACACTAAGTGGTAATGAGCAGGACATGGATGATTTTCTTTAACGTGGATGTGGAGTCGACCTCAGACGGTACCCCCAAGGCTATGGAAAAAGAAAATACCCAGATACACACCTTCACATGCTGCAAAAAGCAGATTTACTTATGTTTTGCACCTTTGCAAACACTATTTTGGCATTAAAAAGTGTCTGTTGCGATTTACTGAAAAGGCATAACTGCTCTTTTGCTCTTTTGTGCTTTTGCCATTCTACGTGCATTTATTGGAGTTTCCCTCTCAAAGCACAAATACTGGGAGGGGATTATTATAATGCAGCACCTACTCCAGTTTATTGAGGCTGTTAGTAAATAGTGACTGCTCTTAATGCCTGTCTTATTTTTGGTGATAACATGGCTGCCATTGTTTGTGCTTGGAGGCAGAGAAAAGAGCGAGGTTTGCAACCATATTTATTTATTTTTGTTGAAAAAAAAACCTTTGTAAATGGTTGCCATGTCACATTATTCTTAATCTGATGACAGAAAGAAAAATTCTAAAGCCAAGTTGTTTTAATAAAACAATGTTTTAAACATTTTTCCTAATACTCAGGGTGTTTTTTACAGCACTCATCAAACTGTCCTGAGATCAGGATAATGTTTTTGACAGTTTCGTTTCCAAACTTTTTAAAAGCACATACTGAAAACCTTTTGGATGTCCCTGTTACACTAAAGCTATGCATTACTTTGTACATGTTCTTGATGAGTAATATCTCATTTTTCAATTAGTCCCTGTTTTGACTTAGTAGGTCAAAGTCTTGAGAAGTATAGAAGTATATTTGAAGTACAAAAAAAATGATTTTCTCCTTCCTGGAAAGAATATGAGCCAAACACATGGTCATATTGTGTTGGTCATATGTTACTTACAAAACTGAACCTGTGTTCATATGCATGGAAGTATTTATTACATAAACCAGCGCAAAATGTCAGTAGACTGTTGGCCCCAAATCATCCCAATTTGGCAGATATATATATTATATGTATGCTTCTGGAGTCTTGGAGGATTTGGATCATTTTATTGCTGAAGTGTGATCATTCTTCGCACAGACAATTTCCCACACTCATCCTCACATGTGCCTCAAATCACTCAAGTCATCAATCCATACAGAGATACGATATACAACATCTTGCACAATGGTGCAATGTAAAACAGGGGAAAAATAAGTGCAACTGAATATTATACTTCAAGAAAAACACTGAAAAAACATCAAAGTGACTGGCATCTTACTGGCCAATAATTAGATTACGAAAGCTTGAAGATGGCTGCTTTTGCTCACCAGGTTTGAGAAGACATTTGGTGTATCTAGACAAGACTGCAAAGAACAGAAGTAAATTGTACACAAAAGAATGCTGCCCTTGGACTCCTAAAAAAACTTAAGGTAGAACCATCGGGGTCAGCCTTTGGTGCTGGGAGGAACCCTTTCATAGAGGTCCAGAACAGCCCTAAAGGATTCTCCAGACCATTGCCCGAATTCTAGGTATCATGCAGGTAGCAATGAGAGGGTACAGAAGAAAGCATAGGATTTTGTATCTTCGGCAAAGTATCCAGAATACTGCAACCTTGTGCTTCTGAAAATGCGGCTCTTTACCACTGAGCTTTATATAAAGACTTGTTTAACATTGCTGTGGTCCAGACTGACATTGTATTTTGAATCTTAGAACCTCATCCAGAACTACTTAGGAACCTTTTTAAGAGTGCAGCCAAAGGTGCTTGATCGACCCTCCTGATTGTGCATAGAACTGTGAGGAAGGGTTTCGTCGGCTGTGATGAATGCAGTATCCAGCAATACAGAGTTTGTGCTGTCATATAGAGGGCTCTGGCCTTCATGGTGTGTCTGGAGCATAGTACAAATAGTGGCACTGGCTATTGAATTAAGAACAATTGTGCAGGTTTGTCTGTGACTAAACTGAAGAAATGTCCAGATATGATCAGAACCTGCTTGGTGAGGAACAGAGATTTAGCAAAGCATCACTGTAATCATAAAAACTCATCTGAAATGGGAGCATGCTCTTAACATCTGTTAAATAACAAAAAAACACCATATATATGTTGGTTTATTCGTCATGAAATGTTACCACAGTCTACAACGTGCATTTTCAAAGTGCAGAAAATACAAACCAAAAACATTTAATTAAGAGGTCTTTTTATGATGGCATTGGTCAGAGGCCCATTTGCAGTCTGTGCTCAAGATACAGTGGTCAATAGCCAGTAACCCGAAGAGATGTGTAACCGCTTTGTTTAAATTTAAAGTTTTTAAACAGTGGAATCTGAGTAAGAACACTGCCCAAAGCTTTAGAACCAACTACAGCTCTAAGCAGCAGTCTTCCTGAATAAATGTAGACACCTACCAAAAACATACTGTAAACAAACAAATGGGCTTATAAGCAAATTCAGTATTTCAATATTTGCCTTGTTCTTCTTTAACTAATGTGGTGAGAAAAAAGCATTTTGTATCTTAACAAGCTTTTAGCTAGAAAAAGTCAATTTCCTGATTTTCACTCCATGAACCCCTCTCATTAGTTGTTTTTGGCTGTTTCTTTTCAAACTTTGAAAACCTCTTTTGGTAAGAATGTAGAGTGGCTGCTTTTTCTCTCTCACCACAGAAGCGACACACTATTGAGTTAAATAATGTGAGAAATATCTGTGTGGAATTCCCCTTGAAAAACACTTTCAAGATTTGTAATGGAAAAAAAATAACTGGAACTGTAATACAAAATGATCACATTTGTGATCTAACAAAGTGAATAAAATCCCCATGAATGTGGAAAAGCAAAAGTAGAAGAAAAACTTGTAAAAAATGTAAAAGGTCAAAACTTTAAATGAAAAAGTCTGTAACAAATGTAAAAGGTAATATTTTGTGTATCATGCCAGCTGAGAAAACTAACAGCACAATCATACAAAATATCAAAATGAAACTGCAAAAACCCTCATCTTCCTGCCTCACTTGTTTGATTACAGCAGTGGAGAAGGTCCTGAGAGAGGCTGGGGGGGGCTTCACCTCTCACCGTACAGAGGCAGTCCTGAAGTGGGGTTCCGATAGCGTCCATTGTGGCCTGACAGGGGGGGTGAGGTGAGGCGCGTGGGTGTTGACGGCAGCCTAATTACCTGAGTGAGGGGGAGGGCCGCAGAAGCAGGTGACTGGGCTTAGTTGGAACTGGTGGTTTGCTGGCCCTGGGAGGAGTCTGTGAGGGGCTGGAGTCACTGGTCACACTGAAGGTTTTCATCAACTCCGCTACACGCCCACGACCCAAACAGCTGTCCCTTCCCACTGAGTCTGTTTCCACAGACATAGCTCGTTTGGAGGCAGCCATCACCCGGAAGTCTTTTCCTAGGAGGTGGAAAGATATGAGAACTCACATTTTTCTTTTCAAAAATACAGGAATACACCTGAGATGAAAATTTTGTTAGAGTCAAAGAAGACACTGATGATGAAAAGAGAGTCTGGTACTGGTTAAGAGCTGCCTACATTTTCAGGAAGATGCTGTTTGACCGACATGTAAAACGACCAGTCCCAGCCCACTCTTTTGGCAAAGCATATAGGAGGAGGCAATTGTCAAAATTCACATATATATCTGGCTGTAAAAGGCTCATTTTCTATGACAACATCTAGTCCAGGTAGCTGTTCACTTTTGATGACAAAATCAAAACTACTTTGCTTCCCCTCCACACACACTGTCTATGCCGCTTATCCTGCTGGGTCGCAAGGGGTGCTGGAGCCTATCCTAGCAGTCATCGTCCAGAAAACACCCTGGACAATGCCAGTCCATCACAGGGCAGACACTCAGACATGTAAACTCACATTCACACCTAGCGACAATTAATCATGTCCAATTGGCCTGGGTGCATGTCTTTGGACTGTGGGAGGAAACCCACGCAGGCACAGGGCAAACTCCACACAGAAAAGACCCAAGTCGCCTGGCCAGGGAATTGAACCTGGCCCCTTCTTGCTGTGATACATAATCAGAATGTGACTGACAGAATCCAGATAGTTGTGGCTAGCTAGGTTGAGACTAGGAGGTGGGCATAATGCTACTTTGGCTGGCAGATACGCTGTATGCCAAAAGGTTGTAGACACCTGCTCATTCAACGATTCTTCTGAAAACAAGGCTATTAATAGTTTGCCCCTCACCCTTGGTACAGTAATAACAGCACTAGTAATGTCAGGTACTGATGTTCGATGATTAGTTCTGGATCACAAATGCCTCTCCAACTCATCCCAAATGTTTCTGATATTTTCATAGTTAAAATATATGCAGTTGAATGTATAAAAGAATCCTGTTTATTTGCACTGAGCTGCTAGTTTAATAGGAAAACAACCTAATACCTTCATACAGATTGTACATTCCAACAAGTCATACATAATATAACTGCAGCACATGGTACGAATAAAGTGGTGTTTCTAGCGTCAGTGTTCAACTAAACATTGGAATGGACAAAATAAGCGACCTTAGTGACTTTGGATTTGGTATGATCATTAGCACTAGCTATGCCAGTTTTAGGGTCTTCCAAATGGCTGTCATTCTGGGCTTTTCACAGTTGTTTAAAGGATTTACCAGAAGAAAAGACCAGTGATCAGTGTTGGGGGTAATGCTGTACATAGTAATGGGTTACAGTAACCTGATGACGTTTTAACACAGTGGTGTAATCCATTGCAGTTTACATTGCTGTAATCAGACTACAGTTAGTGACTCCATAAGAATTTTGTTACTTGCATTGTTGCTCTCCAAGACAGCAAAATTATTTACAAGCAATGCATTTAAAACATACATTTTCTCTATATCACTGCTGTCAGAATAAAAACCTTGTATCTCCATTTTTGTTGTTTTGTGTAACTTTCATGATGAATGGACCACCAGAAATGACCCAAAATGGCTTGGAAAAAAGTGTGGTTCCACTGACTTACATTAAAAGTAAAGTATGTTTTTTCCTTCTCCTGTAAAGTTCTCATTTTGGAGATACAAGGTTTTGTTTCAACAACAGCGATATGGTTCTATGTGTAATTTGACAGCTTTCTCTATGCTTACACTGATCACATTTACAAAGTTCTGCTGTCAGCTGTAACAGGTAGCATTATTAGTAATGATTAGTGAGAGTTAGTTTTTTCCCTGCTAAAATTTGCTATAAGTAATTGGTAATTTGCAATGGCTTACTTTTTTGAATGCTGCCAGTGATTAGCATTCAGTAATCAGGCCTGTACAGCCATCAAGTTTGCAGGAGCTGTGCTATGCAGCCATTTCTGTATGGTACAAGATTCTTGCACACTTTGTTCACCAGCTTGTAGAATCCATGTACAAGCAGCTCAAGCAGTTCTGAAGGCCAAAAAGATGCACCACAAATAGGCCTAATACCTAATAAACTGGCAGCTTAATATATAGAACCAGTAAAGCCCTTTCTAATATAATGCACATAGGTAGAGTATATATGGAGTGTTATATGGCCAATTTGGAAGTATTAAATGTGTGCAGGCACTTATGTGTAGGCGTGTATGTGTATATGTAGTGACTAATTGATAAAAAGATTCAAACACTGTAACCTAATATGGTCCATGCCAAAAATAAAGCTTCTTTGAGTTGACCTGAGTTGAGCACAGAGAAAGAGAGACAGAGAACAGAAAATAAAAAGAAGGAATAGGAACTGGGCGAAGCAGCTGTAATAGAGAGTGATGAGTGGGATATTGGCCAGGCCTTTATCAAAAGTGGGACATTTTAACTGATAGCATTATGACACTTCTCATTATGGCTCAGTAACACAGGCCGTTTATCTATTCTTCTCTCTGTTCTCCCTTCCACCCTTGCCCTTCTTTAGCCCTCTCCTTTTCGCTTTTTCTTTCCTCAGCCTCTCTCTCTCCCCCTCACGCTCTCACTCTCTCTCTCTTTCTTCCTTTCTTTTTTTCTCTCTGTCCCTGGCTCTTTCTTCCTGGGCTGCAGACTGCCAGACCGGAGGTCGTCGGCGAAGGAAGTGGAGCAGGGACGCAGCTGGGTATAGTTGGTGTGTGTGCGTGTGAGTGTGTGTTGTGTGTGTGTGTGTAATTGAGGGACGGAGGGATGGAAGATGAGGAAAGGAGGGCCGCAGGGATGGCGGTGGAGAGCAGACAGACGCTGCTCAGACACCAGAAGGCTTGAGGAACCGCGTATTTTTAGCCCCGTCCCCGGGGGACACAGATGTGTGAGCTCTCTCTCTCCCTCTCTCTCCCTGTCTCCCTCTCTCTCTCTCTCTCTCTCTCTCTCTCTCACACACACACATTTACCCCTTCTCATTTTCACGCACAAACTCCAACATGCTTATTTTTTTCCACACAAACTCGGCCTCTCCCATACACAGCCTGACACACACACGGCGCGCTGTTTCCGATGAACGAAGTGTCCCAATATTCCCCGCTGTGAGTCACGAGCCAGAGTGGCCAGCGGCAGAGCCATGAGCTGCAGGGTCCATCAACCCTGCCCATACACACACACACACACGTTTGTTTTTTATACAGTGTGGAAAAAATAAAATAAAAAAAATTAAATAATGATATAAATTAAAAAATGTATGTTTTTAATGTTAAGGCCTCAAATAGAAAATTAATATTATATGCATAAAGACATAATACAATTGAGTACAATAGAGCAGATTATTCACTTACATCCTAGGATGACGTCCTTCAACAAATTTTGCCTTTTAGCTGTTTGAGTTCTCTTTGAATACTCTTTCAACACTCTCGCAATCATTAGATTCATCAGTTCAGGGAAGAGTTTAGAGGCACAACTGACAAAATATTCTTCTACATGTTGCATGCAATTACACATTTTCACCAGAGAGGTCTCCAAATCCCAAAATCGTACAGAGTGTAACTTTAACATATTGATGAAAAAAACATTAAATATAAAATTTGCATAGGCCATGTTTTACTTTTTTTGCCAATATGTTAAATTTAGCAGATAAACAGTTATTGCACATTAAAATGTGCAGAAGTGTCCTCTGTAGATGTGTACTTATTTTCACTTAGAAAAGCAGATAATTTGACCAGGTCCACCAAACTTAAATATGTTATAATATAATAAAATAATAAAATGTCGCTCAGCCATTTACAATTATCTCTAAATGCTACTTCCTTCATCAAGCAAAGTAAAAGCTCTGCCAGAACTCCCAGAACAAACCTGCAGTGAGAACGACCGTGGCAATAAACTATTGTGAATTATTAGACCAAGAAATTGTGAATACTGCGCGATGTATAATTCAGACATGATCTGATCATCTGGAGGGTGTTGTCTGTTTTTACTTCTTTGTTGAAGCTTGGATTAGTCAGTGTAGAAGACCACAATCACAGCTCGATGTCAAAATGTCAGGGTCCCTAACGGGAAGAGCTAAGTTGGAAATAAAGTAAGCTACATGTTATTTGTGTCACTGGATTTGCGAAAAATCATTTTCATATGACATCTAATGATAAATAACATTACTGAAAAATATTAAGATTAGTTAGCTAACTAATTAGCTTTTCTTAGCTGCTAAGAGTTTGATAAATTAGTCATTAAACATGTTAAATGGGACTGAACAGTGCTCACATCTGTGATTTTTAAAACATTTTGTGTAAAGATAAATAGTTTTCAAACATATGTCTGCACTGAACATCTTGTAAAGACAGTTTATTTTAATGATGAGTTTTAAATGTTGTGCTCACTGCTTGATTCTAAATTTTTCTTTGTGCAGCTGAACTTTTTAATCCATTAGCAAGTGTTACGAAGGCTACCATGTAGCCTGAACTGGATGTTTGACAGACATAACAATAATAACTAAGAGAGTAATAATTAAGGGACTTATAATTTTTTACACTGTTTATCAGTGGTCAGGACCCCCCCATTTCCACCACTGAGCAGGTATTATTTGGGTGGTGGATCACTCTCAGCACTGCAGTGACGCTGACATGGCAGTGGGTATTTTGTTGGTACACTGTGTTCACTTACTGTCCACTATATTAGACACACATACTTTGTTGGTCCACCTTGCAGACATAAAATTAGAGACAACAGCTCATCTGTTGCTCCACAGTTTGTGTTAGTCCTCTAGTGCTTCATCAATGGTCAGTTTCTGGCCACAGGATGCTGTTGGCTGAATATTTTTGGTTTAAAGGCTACTTTCAATCTCAACCACTTCAACATGCTCCACATTACCCACCATTCAAATAGTGAGTCATTAAAATACTAGGTGGTGGTCCTGTCCAGGTCCTGACCATTGATGACAGCAATCTGTACAAATGGACTAGAATTTGTATATTTGTGTATATTTAGGTACTCACCGATACCAATTCTGACAACATATTGAGTAACCTACTTAGAATTAAGTAGTTGT